GACTTTAAAGCCGCTTTTGACAGCACTAAAAGGAGTTGCCTATACGCCGCTATGTCTGAATTTGGCATCCCCTCAAAACTCATACGGCTGTGTAAAATGACGTTGAGCAATACCACCAGCTCCGTCAGAATTGGAAAAGACCTCTCCGAGCCGTTCGCCACAAAACGGGGTTTCAGACAGAGCGACTCCCTTTCATGTGATTTCTTTAATCTGATGTTGGAGAAGATAATAAGAGCTGCAGAACTGAACCGCTCAGGAACAATTTACTACAAGAGCGTGCAATTGCTGGCTTATGCCGATGACATCGACATCATCGGTAACAAAAACCACGAAGTCTGTTCTGCCTTTTCCAAGTTGGATAGGGAAGCAAAGCGCATGGGTCTGGTGGTAAACGAGGACAAGTCGAAGTATCTCCTGTCATCAAACAAACAGTCAGCACATTCGCGCCTTGGCACCCACGTCACTGTTGACAGTTACAATTTCGAGAAAGTAGAGAATTTCGTTTACTTGGGAACCAGCATTAACACCGATAATAATGTCAGCATTGAAATCCAACGTAGAATCACTCTTGCCAACACGTGCTACTTTGGACTGAGTAGGCAATTCAGGAGTAAAGTCCTCTCTCGACGTACGAAAACCACGCTCTATAAGTCACTCATCATGCCCGTGCTGGTATATGGCGCAGAAGCATGGACAATGACAACATCCGATGAGGCGGCTCTTGGGGTGTTTGAGAGAAAGATTTTGCGGAAGATTTACGGTCCTTTACGCGTTGGCGACGGCGAGTACCGCAGACGATGGAACGATGAGCTGTATGAGCTTTACAACGATATGGACATAGTGCAGCGAATTAAAATACAGCGGCTCCGCTGGCTTGGTCATGTCGTTCGAATGGACACCGACGCTCCAGCTCTGAAAGTATTCAACTCGGAACCCGCTGGTGGTAGCAGAGGAAGAGGGAGGCCCCCACTGCGATGGAAAGATCAGGTGGAGAAGTACTTGGCGTTTCCAATTGGCGTCAGTTGGAACAGAGGAGAAACGACTGGCGTGCTTTGCTGAACTCGGCCAAAATCGCTTAGGCGGTTACAGCGCCAAAAAAGAAGAAGAAGTTAAGTTGTAAAGGTGAAAATAGGCCTCCTGGGGAACACAGCACCTTAAAAAAAATCGGTAATGCGCCTAAAAGCATACCTCACAAGTGGTGCGGAAAATGCAAGAACAAAATAAATGGAATAGTTTTCGAAATTATGAAATGGTTATTGGTATTTTCCATCTCAAAGGGGATGATTAATTTGAACGTTATTTAAGCTGCCTTTACACGGTCGATTTTTTTTCGTTTAACCAAAATCTACCCGTGTAAATTGCAATTCAACCGTAAATAGTAAGCGTTTTGGCTAGTCGATATCTTAGTCAATTTTCCAATTGACAGAAATCGACCCGTGTAAAGGCAACTTCAGGAAATTTTTAATTTTCTTTTTCTTTTTTTTTTGCTTGGGCGTCTTTTGAAGATGTGCCAAATTTTTTTGTCGCCTTAAATACAAACAACAATTTCTATAAGCCATCTTGTGCAGCAATTTGTTGATCTTATCCTCACGCCTACCGAAATCACCAACCTCAACGTAGTGATTAGCCTTCATGCGCCAGCCTCGGGTTGATGTGTTGAGCTTGAATAGCAACAGGAAGTTGGAGGCTTTCTTGAAATGGGTTCCAACAGTGAATATTTCGTGCACCAAATAATCAACGCACTGAATTTCGTGCGCTTCGCGAAATTTGCGTTCGATCACAAAGCAGAGATTGGGACAAGTTGATGGTTGTGCTTGACAATTCCACGTTTGTACATCAATTCACGAACTGATTTAAGATTTGGACAACCCTATATAGGGTTCGGCATACGTAGCACATTAATGGTTGCCTTGCTCAATTTGATGAACACAACGTTTTAATGTGGCGAAGACGGAACTGTAAAACTTTACGCACTTTTTGTGCAACCTTGTTGATACCGCGGATACGGATCACAAAAACCAATTTGTATTTTTTAGGCCCGTAGAATTGGCCGCATTTCTTTGCCACACAGCGCAACTCTATCTCACGGCGTCCATCACGGAGTTTTCTTGTTTCATATTTCTCAGCATGCACCAAGTTTTCACGTTTACGGAGTGCAATCACAGCAGAGCGTTTTAGTTTACGTTTGATCAGGGTAGCAATTTGCTGACCTGCTCTTGCTGAACTGCAGCTTCGACTCGGGGACAGGATGTTGTCTGCCCTTTGTTTGCGGTTTCTTACCGGCCGTGATGGCAGTCATCTTAACTTGTTACTTAGCACGTTGAAAAGGCGAAAAAAAGTTCGCCAAATGTTTGGAGCACATCCTAAATGAGCC